AGGAGGAGGAGGAGGAGGAGGAGGAGCAGGAGGAGGAGGAGGGAGGAGGAGGAGGAGACAGAAGAAGTAGGCGGGTCCAGCGCCGATCCAATACAGTTTCCAATGTTTTGTGGTGTCCATGCTGCTTATCAGTTCCCTAGAGGCGATGGCGCGGTCGGTGCAGGACCAGGGCCTCGAGTTCGAGCCAGGTTCGAGAGAAGAAACATAATGACCATGACCAAGATGTCGCTTGATCTTGTCGACGCCGATCTCGGTCGTGGTCCATGCCAGCCGTCATCGATTCGCGAGGATGGTCAACACACTGAACATGACCACGACGGACGATGGCCCACATCGACACCGACGTTTCCGCGGTCAGCCTTGGTCATGGTACTCGTTTTCTCTCCCCTCACAGGCGTTCACACTTGCTGGGCGTTTCACGGCGCGGACGTGGACGCGATAGATTCGATCATCCACAACCCCATGGCGGGCTTCCAGCCCTGCGCGTCCCGGGCCAACTCGTCCCTCTGGGGCTCTGGCAGCTACTTTGCCCGCGACGGGAAGTATGTGGCCGACGGCGGTCTCTGCCCGAAGAAGAGAAACGGCATAAACACAACTGTCGAGCTCCGCGCGGGTTTCTTGGATCGGCGCTGGGCCACCCTCCAGGAGGCGCGGAGCGCGCCAGGGCCGGCGACGGAGGCACCGCCAGGGGGGCCCCAGCGCAGATCTGGGACATCCGCTGGAACCGCCGACAGTTTCTGCTTGTGTGCACTTTTCCTTCCTCTAGGCGGCTTCTGCGGCGCCGCCTCGAACGGCACCCGGCAGATGCTCATGTGCTTGCTCACCGTGGGCTTGCCCTGCCTCGGCAGCCCCGAGCACCGGGGAGTGCTGCCCTTCCGGCAGAGGCCGCACCGCTACACGAGCTCGGTCGACTCGCTGTCCAGCCCCGAGGTCTACGTGGTTCAGCACCCTGGTGCTGCACACCCAGCCTACGTTCTCACTTTCGGGTAGGGCCCTGATGCAACCGCTTGCGCCCAGCTTGATACTTACAGCCTTCGAAGCGCCAACCGATTGCGCCCAGCTTGGCACGGACATCCTGGAGAGCGCGAGCGAGCATGGCCGATGCCAGCGAGGTTTCAGAGATCGGAATCGACATCGCCAACCCGCTGCGGCGTTCTGAGTCGGCGCTTGCTGCTCCAGCAGTCACAGATTTTCCTGCAATCCGGAATGCAGTGCTTGTCCACAGGGCGTCAGTGTGCTTCGCTGCAGATCTGCGGCATTATCGGCCTCCGGTAAAGCCCGGTTGCCGTGCCAGCAGGTAGTACGTGTTAGGCAATTCTGCGACCTTTGCCTTCGTAGTAGTGGCAGATCATGGTCGTCGCGAAAGTTTTTTTCTGAATTTATGCCCCCGTGACAGGCCAAGAGTTCAGCAAGCAGATGTGATTTTTGCGGCACCGCGCATTGTCAGCTCTAGACGCTTTGCGTATCCCCACCAGCCTATCCAGAAACGATGTCAAGGCGAGTTGAGACGATCAAGGAAGTGTGGGAGCAAAGAGGGGGACGGCCGAACCGTGGGAAGCAGGGAGGAGGAGAAGGAGGAGGCTGGATGGATGGATGAGGGAGTGGGGATAAAGAGGATGAAAAATGATGATGATGATGATGATGATGATGATGATGGTGGTGATTATGATGATGATGATGCTGATGATGATGATGCTGATGCTGATGATGATGCTGATGATGCTGATGATTATGCTGATGATGATGCTGATGCTGATGCTGATGCTGATGATGATGATGCTGATGATTATGCTGATGATGATGATGATGATGATGATGATAAGGCTGATGATGATGATAAAGAGCATGCTGCTGATGATGATGCTGCTGCTGATGATGCTGATGATGCTGCTGGTGATGATGATGCTGATGATGATGCTGATGATGCTGCTGCTGCTGCTGCTGATGATGATGATGATGATGATGATGATGGTGCTGATGATGGTGCTGCTGCTGATAAGGATGATGATGATGATGATGAGGAGGAGGAGGAGGAGGAGGAGGAGGAGGAGGAGGAAGAGAAGGATGAGGAGGAGGAAGGAGGAACAGGAGGACGAGGGCAAGCAAAAGGGCCAGAGGTCTCTTGGATGCCTCTCGGAGCCCCTTGGGATATCTCTTGGGCGCTTCTTCGTGGCCTCTTGGGACGTCTTGGGGGTCTCTTGGCGGTCCTGTGGGGTTCTTGGGCGTCTTGGGTGCTTGGGGCCGCTTGGGGTCCTCTTGGGGGCCTCCTCGGGGCCTCTTGGGGGCCTCTTGGGGCCATCTTGGGGCCATCTTGGGGCCTCTTGGGGCCTGCTGGGCGCTTCCTGGAGCCATCTTGGAGGACATCGATCAAAGAAGGGGGGGTCCTTAATTACGGCTGCCCCCCCAAGGGGCCAAACTGGGGACGAAATCTTAGTAAAACCATTGATTTTGGCTTCCTCGCCGAGGCCGTTTTGGACGCCCTGACCGTTGGTGAACCCCCCCGGCCAGGTCCAGGGGAGGGGGGAGGGGGAGGAGTAAACCCCTCCCCGAAGGGGAAGAAGGGGGGTGGAAGAGAAAACTCCCTAAACCACCTACGCCCTAAAGGGCTGTTGGGATCTACAAGCGCAGCGCAATCAAAATCTCTCGAATTTGTTTGTGGAACACATGGGCTATCAAGATCACGGCTATACGCATGCGCGGGCTCATTGTTTATACAGTCGCCTGGTATGCCAAGGTGAGTGTTGGCATGGCTCTCAGGGCATTGCTCCACTGCAGTGGAATCCCAGTTCTTGACATCTGGAGGCGTCGCCGAGGAATTCAAATCACGCCTGTATGTGCACTGTAGCTCACTGGCTGCCCGGAGTGAATCACCGCGCCACGTTGTGCACTGGCGGTCCTCTTCAAGCGTATTCAGCCTCGTTCGTTCGGGCGGGGCTAGGACGAGGATAAATCCGTTCCAGAGCGTTCCGGAACGCTCTCGGAGCGTTCCAGAACGCTGTGGGAAGGTCGCGGCGCCCGAGACATTCCCCAGAGCCGCCAGATCTAAGAGATTCTGATTCATCCTCACCCAGTTTTACCCTCGTCCTGGCTTCGTCCTAGTGTGTGCCCCCTCCCCCCCCGGAATCGTCTGTGGCCAGCGATCTGATCTGTCCCGCTGCCAGTCCCTGGTGCCCGTCGCCGCGTGCGTAGCGTTTGCCTTACTGTCCTGTGCTGCGCGCTCAGAGTCGCGCTCGGCCGTCATGCAGAAGACCCACGGCCCTTCGCCAGCGTTGGACTTAAAAAGTGCTGCACCGAAGAGATGAGCGACCACGACCGAGACCGAGACCGAGGTCGGCATCGACCAGATCCTGCGACATCTTGGGCACGGTTCTCGAGCTCCTTCTCACGAGCCCGGCTCGAATTCGAGGCCCTGGCCCTGCACCGACCGCGCCATCGCCCCCAAAAGGGAGCGAGAAGCAGCATGAGTGTATACTTTCGGAGCTCCGCGCGGATCTCTTGGAGCGGCGCCGGGCCCCCCCTGGCGGCGCCCCCGGCGCCGTCCGCTGTTCGCTTGGCACGCCGGGGAGGGGGTCCCGGCGCAGCTCCGAGGCAGTCGCGCGGAGTTCCGTAGGCTTCTGCCTATAGGCCCCCCAGATGGGTTCGGAGGATCGCGCCGCATCGCCCATGCATCGCCGGTGCGGCTCGATGCGGACTCCGGTCCTCTCCGTGCAGACGTCGCCGACGCATCGTCGATGTCGACGATGCACCGCCGATGCATCGCCGATGCGGCGCGACCCTCCGACCCCATCTACTCGGACCCCGTCTACCAGGCCTCTGTTAGGGGGCCACATGTGGAACCTACCCCCACCCCCCACGATTTTTGAGGGGAGGGTGGGGTGGGTTCACTTCGCTCGGGAGCTCCCGAACGAAGTGAACCCCACCCTCCCCCTCGGAAATCGTGGGGGGTGGGGGTAGGGTTCACATGTGGCCCCCTCTCTGTCCTGCTCGTGCCGTTGGTGGCTGCTCGGTGTGGTCCACGCAGCGGCGGAGGCCGCGGCCCCGCCGTCGCGGGCGCGGCGCCCGTCTGGGCGTGGCCGCTCCCGGGCCGTGCCGCGCGAACTCCGGAGGCGAGGTCCACTAGACACTGGAGCTCCTGCTGGTATCCAGAGCCAGCCGCACCATGGCATCATCCTCGTCCCATGGTTGGCGTCTGCTGCTGCGGCCTCCGCCCCTCTGCCTCGCCCGGTGTTCCGCGGCTTGGCTCGGCCCGCTGCGTTGCAGTCGATCGGCTGCGTTCGGCCCGGCATTGTCGTCGCTGCGTCCTTCTGCCTCGGGGGCGGAAAAGAGGGGGGTGATGACTAGGGGGGGGTGAATCTCATGGCGGCGGCCATGATATTTCCCCAGATTTCATGGCGCCTCTTCTTGTTTCATTACGTCCCTGGCCCCCCCGCCGGGCCGCGCACATGCCGCCGGTCATGATTTGCACCCCCCCCTCTTGGACACCCCCCTCTTGGCCGCTCCCGACTGCCAGGAGTCTGGATGCACATGACGAGGCCAGCCCGGGCGAGAGATGCCGCGCGTCTTTCCGGCGCTCGGCCCTAGGTGGCCGTGCAATGCCAGCCGTCCGCATGGGTTCGGTAGCACCCAGACGTGCCTCTTCAAGGGGCTTGCGCCGTTCCGCCGGCACCAGGAAGTGGTAAGGAATCCACCAGTTGCCACTCATTTGCGCCCGACTGCAGCTCGTGCTGGCAGTCCAGTGGCCTTCGGCCCATCCCGCCAAGGTGCCTGGCTTGTGCGTCAGATGCTTCTTGGGCGCCAGCAGAGACTTCTTTAGGGGGGCGAAAAATGACATAAACATAAGAACTCGGAGGTCCGCGCGGATTGCTCGGATCGGCGCTGGACCCCCCTCCCTGGCGCGCGGAGCGCGCCAGGGGCGGCGCCAGAGGCGCCGCCGGGGGGGCCCATCGCCGATCCGAGAAATCTGCGCGGACCTCCGAGTTTTTATGTTTATGTCACTTTTCATTCCCCTATTCTTGGGAAGCCTCTGGGGAACCCTTGGGGACGGGGGCAATGTCTCACACGCCTTGTCTCCCCTGGCAAGCGGGGGTCGGCGGATACTGACTATGTGCTCGTCGGTCCCGCATGGGGCAACGCGCGCGCTCTCAGAGATCCTGTACTATAGGCTTGTTGGCGGGCGCTTTCTGGCTGTACCGCTGAAGAACGGATGCGCTGCAATGCTAATCTGTGTATGTCCGTCGTGGGCATGCGCCTCCAAGGGGGGCGCATGGTACTTGTGTTCCCTGTGTGTGTGTGTGTCCAGCAGTGTGACGTGAGGCCCCGCCTTCCTTCGCCCCCCCTCTGCTAATTAAAGCTGTGCGCGGCCCGCTTAGCTTCTATCGGAAGAGGCTCGCTCTCGACCCGCGGATCAAAAAGGTGTGTGTCCAGCCGCGTATGTTCCCGACAGGGTGCTGGAGCTCTACCTGTCTCGGTCGGTTTCGGCTTCGCAGCTGGTTCGGTCGGCTTGCGGCTCTGCTGTCGAAGGGGACGTCTATGCTCTCTCGGCCTGGCCCCCTTCTGGGCGCGGCCAGCTGCTTTCCGGCGGCCAGCTTTCTGTGCCTCAGCAGCCGACCAGGACTTGGACAAGTCTGTCGAGGAAGCCACGGAGCAGAGGAAGGAGGAGAACGACGAGTACAAGGATCGCCGGGCTCGCCCCCCTCCGCCCCACGTGGTCCCTAAGAGAGACGTCTCTCGCAATGGGCTGGGCCTGAGCTGCTGCTGCTGCCGCTGCTCCTCTCCTCGCCCTGGCCCCTCGTTGGTCTTGCCCAGGCCTTCGCCCGTCCCCGCAGGAGCTGATCAGCTCCAACTCCGCGGCGAAAGAGCTGCTCGAGTTCGCTAAGAACCGCCTCAACAAATTCTAGCCCCAAGTGCCTTCCGGCACTCCTCCGGAGCTCCCATCGCCCGGCACCCGGCGTGCGCGCGGGGATGGCGGGCCGAGGCCGGTCCCGAGATCCGACGCTGCGAGAAGATTGCAGTACCGCGACATCGGCAAATGGGTTTCGCCACGTGATGCGAATCTCAGGTGGAGGAGGCGGAGGAGGGGAGGGAGGAGGAGGAGGCGGAGGAGGAGGAGGAGGAGGAGGAGGAGGAGGAGGAGGAGGAGGAGGAGGAGGAGGAGGCGGGTGCGGAGGAGGAGGCGGAGGAGGCGGAGGAGGAGGAGGAGGAGGAGGAGGAGGAGGAGGAGGAGGAGACTTCGCATCACGTGACGACATCACTCTGCCTACGGGAAGTCCCGACCAGAGGCCCAGACCCCGCCTCCCGGATCGAAGAAGAACAAAAAGCCATATGGCGCTCCGCGCGGGTTCCTTGGATCCGCGCTGGGCCCCCCAGGCGGCGCCTCCAGCGCTGTCCCTGGTGAGCTCCGCGCGCCGGGGGGGGGGGGGTCCAGCGCAGATTCAAGAGATTCGCGCGGAGCGCCAAAAGGTTCCGTTTATGGCGTCGCTTCTTTTCCTGAGCCTTTCAACAGAGCTTTACAGGCAGCGTCAGGGGGGAACAGACTCGGAGGGGGATGCGTGGACCTCCCGTCGCCCGCTCCGCGCCGATAGGAGGCCCGACCACCCTCCCCGACCAGGAACGCGCGGCTTCGCTGTCCAGGGCCTATCGCCGATCTGTCGGCGGTGTGTCGCCGCTTCCAGCTCGCTGCTTTCCCCCCCTGAGGCCGGTCTCCCTCCCCCCCAACAAGAATAACCGTGCGCGTTGTACCACTCGCAAAATGCAGACTCGCAGACGTCAGAGGAATGACATGTCTGCAGCGATGTGATATACAGTCAACGCGCCTAGTAAGGACGCGCGCCTTCATCTAGGGTACCCTTGTGTCCTTGCCTCTGAGGCTCGTCCTTGCCATTATCACTGGTCGCCCGCCGCCCTAAAAAACCCAACTTCGGCCTCCAAGGGTCTTGCGTCCTTATCACCCGTCCTTAATGTACGTTTTGACTGTATCGTGAATCCCCCCGTGGCGGATCCAGTTCAGTTGCGAGTCCTTGCTTTGCGAGTAGTGGAGCCGCGCTTGTCGACTAACGCTGCCCCTCGGTGTGCCGTGGGCTGCTCTGGGCAGCGCTCCGGCGGCACGCTCGCGGGGGGGCCGGGGCCCGCCCGGTGCAGTCCAGGCTGCCCCCGCGGAGGCCTTTATAGAAGCCGGAGTCTTGGCTTGGGCGCGCGGGAGTGTACGCCAGGAGCTCAGAGGAGGAAAAGCGAAGAAGAAGAAGAAGAAGAAGAAGAAGAAGAAGAAACGGCATGACAATGAACTTTTCTTGGGTCCGCGCTGGGCCCCCCCCAGCGGCGCCTCCGGCGCCACCCCTGGCGCGCTCCGCGCGCCAGGGAGGGGAGTCCATGGCAGATCCGAGAAATCCGCGCGGAGCGCCAAAAGTTTATGTTACATCATCTTTTCTTCTGCTTCTTCTTCTTCTTCTCCTTCTCCTTCTTCTTCTTCTTCTTTTTATTTTTCTTCTTCTTCTTCTTCTTCTTCTTCTTGAAACAGGCACCCCTGCCACTACCCTTCCCTCGTTTTGCCCTTTTTGGGCCTCCTGGGCAGGCCTCGTTGCCACCGCTGGATTCGCCTCGGAATCCAGCTCAGACCGCACCCTGGAAGAGGTCGGGGTTGTAGCGGTATCGGTACCTGTTGGCTTCCCCAGGATCGTTTGTTCGTGTTTCTCCGTAGACAGTCGGGGCTCGTGGGACGGGGACCGATGATGACGGGAGGTCAGTCAGAGCGCCGGATCTAACAGGATCCTGCAGAGCCAGGGGCGCTTTGACCCGGGCTTGCGTGCAGGATCTTGCAGGATCTTGCAAAGCCCGACTGACCCGGGTCTGGACTGACCCGGGTCAGCAGATCCCCCAAGTGGAGGGCATTGGCGGCTGCGGCCATGTGTCGGATTGCGTGTTCCGAGCGTGGCACTTTCATTCCCTGGCGTCAAGATTCGGAAGCGCTCAGAAAGCTCCCGATCTCGACAGATTTTGCGACGACCCTGGCAGTAGCTTCACCGCACTCTGGGTAGCGCGGAATGCCCTCGGAGGAACCGCTGCATTGGTGGATGATTGCGTGGTCGGAGAGATGGAGGGGTCGACGGGCGGAACGCACGAGTGGACGAACGTGCCAGCGAGCGAGTGGGTGAGAATCCATCACGCCTCTGTGCGCCCTGGGTATGCGGGGACGTGCGGCCAATCCGAAGCTGTACAACCCGCCGGCCAAGGAGGAGCTCAGCGAGCAGGGTCGCATTGCAGCAAACATGGGCGGCGCCTCCGCAGTGCAGCTGGATGGCGCTGCCATGCTGGTGCAGGTGTCGCAGCATGATGTGCCAGAACCGCCACCGGAGACGTGGGGCGCTTATTCTGATTTCGCTGGCTGAGCGACGAGGCTTAGCCGAAAGGGGGTCTTCGCTCTTCGAATGGGCGTCAGGGCCTCGGGAGCATTGCAAGTGGATCTGGCGCGCTGGGAGAACTTCGGATCCCGCGCAAGATCTGCAGGGAGCGAGGTCGAACAGGGAGCTCCAGAAAGGGCCCATGTTTAGATTTCGCACTCGGCGGACATCGGCGGAAGGGCGGCAGAAGGTGACGAAAACAAAACGAGGGTGGATCATCTGGCGGAGGCTCGCCTTCTTCAGTGACTATGTGAGGGTGGCGCCCACGATGGCATGTGTTTCGATGATCTGTCCAAGTGGCGGTCGATCGTGTCTCTCGGGATGGTTGCTGGAATAATGGCTTCATCCGAGACCGCGACTGTGATGCAAATGATGGCGGCATCGATGGTGATGGTCATGTTAAGTGATGTGCTGACGATGCAAGCGATCACGATGAGCATGGTGACGTGGTGACGATGACAACGACGACATGGATGATGGTGGGTAGTGGTGGTTGTGACGGCAATGATGAATGTACCGGTCGCGATGGTGGTGTATCAGGTTGCGATGCTTGATGGTTGCGATGCTCCTGCTGCTGACGGTGGTGGTGATGCCCCATTGTGGGTCTGACCCTCCGCTTAAGGTGACGGATGACGATGACAATATGACGACGACGATATTGATGATGATGACGATGCTGCTGATGATGATGATGACGATGATGATGCTGCTGCTGCTGATGATGATGATGATGATGATGATGATGTCGATGATGATGCTGATGATGATGAGGAGGATGATAGTGATGATGATGCTGATGCTGATGCTGATGCGGATGCGGATGATGATGCTGCCTGCTGCTGCTGCTGATGCTGATGCTCATGCTGATGCTGCTGATGATGATGCTGATGATGCTGCTGCTGCTGCTGATGATGTTGATGATGATGATGATGATGATGATGATGATGATGATGATGATGATGATGATGATGATGATGCTGATGCCCGAGTGCGAGGTTGGTACGCCCCAAGGGTGACTGCGCCGAAGTCGTCCCTGGGGGTGCTGCAGAGCCCGCACCAGTTGCCCTCTTCGGGCCATCCGAGGGCCACCGCTGTCAGCGTCGCGGCACGACACCCCTCTGCTGGTCGGCGGCGGGCTGCGATGGAACGCCTGGGGCGCAGGCATCGCACTCGAGGACGGGGGGCCGTGGGAGGAGCGGGCCCTGGAGCTGTGTTCGCCGTTCTCGGGCTCTCGCGGCCCCACCCCCGGGCCCCCGCGGAGCGTCGTCGAAGAGCGACTCGGGACGAGCGGCGGGCCCCAGGGAAGGCCCCTGGGTCCGGGACCCTGTCGCCTCTGGGCCCCCCTGGCGGGTGTCAGCCCTCGCCTCAGGGCTTAGGCGACCTGTCCTCCTCCTGCTCCTGCTCCTGCTCCTCCTCCTCCTCCTCCTCCTCCTCCTTCCTCCTCCTCCTCCTACTCATCCATCTCATCCTCCCCCTTCCCCTCCTGGGACATTCGGGGACTCTTGGGAGCATCTTGAGCACACATTTGGTCGTGGACAAGGGGCTTCTTAGAGGCATCTTGGCGTGTCTGGAAAGGCCTCTTGGGGGCTCATGGGGGGCTTCTGTCAAACTCCTGGGGGTCCTCTGGGGGTCCTCTTGAGGGCCTCCTGGGTGGCGATCCTTGGGTGTCGGGCCCGAGTGGCCCCTTCGAGTTCTCTCTCTTGGGCCCCTCTTGGAGGCCTCTTGGGCTCTATCGAGGCCTTGGGGTGCCGTCGTCGTGCTCTGTCGGCTGTCTCGGGGCTCTCTTGGGGGTCTCTCAGGCCTCCTGGACGCTCTGAAGAGGACGGAAAGGACGAGCACTCCAGATTTCGTAACAAAAGGGAGGGGGTCTCAATCCTCCCAGGCCACAAGTTTCAGACCCCCCCAGACCATCCATGAGAGGGCGGCACTTTGCCCAGACCCCCCCCTAACCCTTCAGGACAGCTCAAGTCAGACCCACCCCGCCAAATGTACCCCCCCTGCTTTATCATGGAATCCGGAGTGCGCGAACATCTGCCAGCAGCATGGACGCATGATGTTGACTCACTGTGGCCAGCCCCGAGGGCCTCCAAAGACGGCCCAGGTGGCCCCCAGGAGAGGCCCCACCCACCAACCCACCCCAACCCAACCCGAAGGCCTCAATGTGCCCTCCATTTCCAGTTGGGGGGGGGGCGGGGAACATCGAAAAAACACGTATGGAACCCATACCCCCCCCAACCCGAAATTCGGGTCTTCGGGTTGGGTTGGGGTGGTCTGGTAGGTAGTCAGGAAGGCCCCATGATGGCTCCTCAGGGCCATCGAGGGTCCCTGAGATGCTTTGAGCGTTTCTTGGAAGGCTCTTTTGGGGGGATGTTGCAGTCGGTTTGGGCGGGTTTTGGCTTTCCCGGAGGCCCACGCGAGAAACGCCAGAAGCGCCCAGCATCGCCAGAGAGTGCCCAAGACAACGGTGGCGGATTGCACACGCACGGACCCTCGGAGGTCTGCGTGGAACTCCGCGCGCACCTCCGACGAGGCACACGTGCACGCCTGTGCTGCTTGGCCCTCGCGGCTGCAGCCCGTGACGATCTTGCCCGCCCCGTCGTGACCATCACCGCCGCGAGCCCTTACGGCTCCCTCTCAGCCGCTCGAGCGCGGCGCGCGCGCGCGGCGCGCCCGCTGCACGATGCCTGCCGGCGGGCGCGGAGCGAGCGGCGGCGCGCGGGCCCTGGCGGCCCTGGCGGCCACTGCTTACCAAACCACCTGCACCCAACCCGAAGGCCTTGGACCACCCCGAGTTTCGGGTTTGAGGGGTGAACGGGCTCCATCGTGTTTATTCAGTGTTCTGGAGCTGTGTGGGCCCCGGAAACGGCAGGGTCGTTTTTTCACAGTTTCCAGAAAAATGCCCTTGACAATGGAAACGGCAAAAAAACGGCGACCGGAAACGGCAAAAAAACGGCTCCAGGATTGCAGCCGGAGCCGGAACCGGTAAAAAAACGGCGACGGAACCGGTGAAAAAACGGCGTCGGAACCGGCAAGAAAACGGCAAAACGGAACCGGTAACAAAAACGGCCCCTAGTTCTGGAGTGCCCACCGGAAGTTGACGAGCCCAGCGGTGACTTCGGGCACAGGCCCCCGACGCCATGATTTTCCATGACGTCGACCCCACGAGGTCTCGACCCACTCCCCGGGGGCCGGTTTTTCATCCCGAGTCGTTTTCTGACGGTCCCGAGGCCCGGCAAGGGCCCCCAGAGGCCGAGAGTAGCGAAACACACATCTCCCGCCTCGACTTTCGATCGAGACGCCCCTCCTCCGGCTCGGAGGATCGATGGGAGGGTCGCGGGATCCTGCTCGGGTTTGGGGCGGGGGTGGTTTGGGGGGTGGTCAGGCGGCCCTGCTGGCGCTGGCGCGGCTGCCGCCGCGCGCCGCCCTGCTGCCCTGGGCGCGGGCCGCCGCGCCCGCGGCCCCCGGGCTCCGCGGCGGCCCCCGCGGCGGGGCCGCCCGCCGCGGGCCCGGGGCCCTGGCCGCGGCCGGGGTCGCGGGCGGAGCTCCGCTGAAGCCGGGCCCGAGATGGCAAAACAATAGTCTGGGGACGATTGTTCTACCATGACCATTGTGGAGCTTCTCTTTAAAAAAGGAAGGGACCTTAACATTAATAATAATAATAACCATAATAATAATAATATTAATAATAATAATACTACTAATACTAATAATAGTAATAATAAGAGTGATGATAATAATGATAATAATAATAGTAATAATAGTATTAATAATATAAAAGAAGACGAATCATACGAATTAGAAGAACAACAATAGTAATAAAACGAGTAATCATAATGACAATAAAAATACTATTTTGAAGCATAAGAAGAATCATATTAGGAATCGTAATACGAATCGCACTAATTAGAATACTACGGATAATCATGATAATCATAGCGCCAATAATAGTTAATAGTAAAGAGATTATAATAAGAATAACAGTAATAATAACAAACATCCTCGGCAATCCGCCTGTAGGAGGACTTGCCCGACTTTTAACGCTCCGCGGAGGCAACGGCACGGCGATGCCGCGGCCCGCGCCCCGCTTCTTTCTTGCCTCGTCGGGGCGGGGCCTTTTCTGGGAGGCCCTCGGAGGGGGCTGGACGTATACAGCACGTTGTTGGGTCGGCCGAGGAGCCAGTGAGTCTTCGGCGCAGGAGTTTGGTGTAGATGCGCTCCACCGGCCCACAGGTTGGGCACATGGGGCGTCCATGCACCGATCTCCTTGGCCGACCAAGACGACGTGGCGTATCCGTCGGGCCCCTCCCGGGCCCTCGTCGCCACCGCGGGGCTCGCTTCGCGAAGTTCTGGTCCGGACGCATCCTGGGAGAGGTCTGACGGGGAGCGGCATCGGCACCTTTTTTGGGGGGGTTTCACCAGGAGCGGCCGTGGCGGGCGCGGCGAACGGCAGCAGTCTGGCGCCGCCGGACCTGTCTCGGCGGCGAAGTGTCCGAGCCCTGCCCCCCCTGCAGGTGGGGTCCCGAAGTGCTCGCGTCGTGACAAACATCACGACGGGGGGGGTATTTGGCCGTTTTCGGGCTCTGGGAGCCCTCGCTGGGCCCCAGGACCGTCAACAGACGACTCGGGATGACACACTGGCCCTGGAGACAGGGTCGGGGTTTCCAGAGACCCCGTATTGGAAGAATCAGGACATCGCATGTATTGGATGTAGATGGTCGGCGGCGATCCGAAGCCTACCCTCGCCGATCAACGATTCAGGCAACCCGATGGGCGTTGGGGGCAGGGTTCGGGATTCGGCGAGCACGTGGCAGAGACCGAATTCTACCCCCGCCTCCCGTGGATTCAGGAGGATTGAATGTTGGCGGGTGTAGGGTGGGTTCGGATGTCGCCACCTACTTTCTTTGGGCTCGGGGCCAGTCACAGCTCGGGGCCCTTCTCGACCTGACCGGTCTGGTTCGGTCTCAATCTCGGCTGGCCCGATCTGGTTCGGTTCCTCGACGTGCTCGCGTCGTGAACACAATCACGGCGGGAGGTTTTTGACAGTTTTCAGCCTCCGAGGCCCTCGCCGGGCCCAGCACCGTTGAGCAACTACTCAGAACGAAAAGCCGGCCTTGGGGGCAGGGTCGAGATTACGGGGTCCCCGTCTTGGAAAAGTTAAGACATCGCATATCTGGGTTCGAATTCCCCCCAACGATCCAAAGCGGCCTCGTGCTTGCACGGCGCTGTCGTACATCTTGGCCCAGCCGATCCGATTCGATTTTGGCTCCATGTCGATACAGCCCGATGCGACTTGCACTCCGATTCGATCTGGTTTCCCGAGTCTTGCAACGGAGGGAGTTGTGGTCCCTACTCCTTGGGGGACCCATCGGTCTCAGCACCCTCCTCTCTCTCGAGAGCGTCGATGCGATGGGCTCCCCTGGGGGGAAGCACGGCTCCTCAAGTTGTGACCCGTCGGTTCAGGGTGCGAAGCCCGCTTTCACCATTGGCGCTCCTGCGGGAAGAAGGGTACAGTGCAGGCCCATGCCAAGAAACACCCTGCTTGCCTCCAGGGTGCCACAGGTTTCTTGGGCTTCGATGGTGTTGCGGTGGAAGCGTGACGTTCCCACACCCAAAACCAATGGACGCCCTGGGGTCTCAGGGTTGGGTTTCTCGTGGAAGGCTTCCTGTGGACTAGCCTTATGATGTTCCAAGCTACTTTTAGCCTTGACCACCAGAAAGAATTTCGAGCGCCAGAAAAAGTGCCGAAACTCGAGGGTTTTCACGTGTCGGGCCCCGGGAGACACTCGCCCGACGCTGTTTCGACACCGTTCCGACACTCTTTTGACACTTTTCCGGGTGCTCGAAATGATTTCTGAGATGCGGTCCTTAAGCAGGATGGGAACAACGTAAGACTGGCCTCCACCGTACGGTAGATTTGCGCCGTGTCGACCAGCAGCGACCCCAGCGCGGGCGTTCAAGGTTGAACGCCGCCGGCGACCCAGAATCGATCGATGTTGAACGATCGGACGTTGCGGCAGCGGCCGATCGTTCAAGGTTGAACGATCCCTGCGGTGTCAAAAACCAACGCTGGGGTCGACACGGCACGAACCTGCAGTACGCGGCTGGAAGGCCCCCAGAACGTCAGGATGCGCACACCTCCAGAGGTTCGCGCGCGGCCATCCCGGGTCGGCGCTCGGCGCGGTGAAGGGTGCCTTCCTCCTCCTCCTCCTCCTCCTCCTCTCTCTCCTCCTCCTCCTCCTCCTCCTCTCCTCCTCCTCCTCCTCCTCCTCCTCCTCCTCCCTCCCTCCCTCCTCCTCCTCCTCCTCCTCCTCATCTGCCTCCTCCTCCCCCTTCTCCTCCTCCGCCTCCTCCTCCTTCTCCTCCTTCTCCTCCTCACTTCCCCCCCATCGCTCGCCGCCGAGCATGGCCCGTGGGCGGCTCCGCGCGCCCAGGAGGGGGTGCAGGGGGGGGGGGCGGGGTCCACCAGCACCGACCCCTCGCGTCCGAGCGGACCTCCGAGCGTTGCGTTCTTTTGCCCTGCTGCTGTTCTTTTGCCTGGCATCGCTCGGACGTGTGCATTTTTTCGGCGACGGCCATCGAGGAGTATTCTTAACCATCCAGCGAAAAATCGCACGAAGTCGAGGAATGCACGGGGAATGGACGTCCGAGCGATGGCGAGTTATGATCGGCACGCGGAGACGCCCTCGGGGTGGGAGCGGGGTCAGTGCACGTGCACGTTTCCAGGGTATTTTCCCTGCTCCGCGGAGCCTTTCTCTGGCCAGACCATTGCGTGCCCCCTCTTCGGGTGGAGGCGGTGGCGGTGCGAACTGTCTTTTGTCCGAGCTCGGGAGGCCAAAACCTACATGTGGTCAAGCTCATGCCGCCCCTGACGCGTCTGCTTTCTATATGTACTTGCGTCGAAACAAAAAGAAGGCATACACAATTTGTCGGAACTCCGCGCGGATTTCTCGGATCGACGCTGGGGGGCCCTGGAGGCGCCTCTAGCGTCGCCCCTGGCGCTCTCCGCGCGCCTGGATGGGGGGTCCAGCGCCGATCCAAGAAATTTGCGTGGACCTCCGAAGGTTCATGCTTACGCAGTTATTGATTCCTCTATGTTTGTAGGTGTCCAAGCTCCACGTTTCTGCCCTCTGGATTTCCATTTTTCTCTTACCACATTCCCGTCTGCCCGCCTCCCATGAGGAGCCCGCAGGCATCGCCTGGGAGTCTCTGTCGAACGACGGCGAGGAGGCGCCCTCTTGGGACGAGATCCGCGGTCAGGACGGCGAGGGGCAGAGAGTGACCGTGAAGACATCACGACGGAAGGCTTCGCTATGTGCGGCCTCTGGGGGTCTTCGCCGAGCCCCAGGACCGTCAACAAAACGATTCAGTCGACTACGCGTAAGAGTGACCCTTCGCCGGAATGATCTGTGGTGCGGGCCCATTGGGGTCCCTCGATCGCCGGACGCGATTCGATAGTAGCGTCTTGCGCGCTTGTGTTTGGTCTTCCCGCGGCACTCAAAACGCCGCGCACCAAAGGCTCACTCTTACCCAGGGGCACTCTTGCGTGTAGCCGAGTCAGGATGACGAGTCGGTCTCGGGGAAGGGGTCCAAACCTCTGGGGTTCGACGCTGTGAGCACGTCGTGGCGTCCAGGGTCTGGGGCAGCGGAACTGGCAGCGGCCGCGACAGATACTGGCAGGACAGAGGCAGGGGGCGGGGGCACGCAGAGGCACGCACGTGTAAGCATATATATATAGAGAGAGAGAGAGAAAAAAGAGAGAGAGAGAGATAGATAGATAGATAGAGATATATATATATATATAGAGAGAGAGAGAGAGAGAGAGAGAGAGAAAAGAGAGAGATAGAGAGAGAGACCGGGCGACACAGAAGCACCACGGGAATGCAGAGAGGCAGAGGCAGGCGCATACGCAGGCGCAGGCGCGAAGCTGACGGACACATCTATATCTATATATATATATATACACATATATAGATACATACAAATACATGCGTATCTATATATATGTATGTGTATATATATATATATGTATATATTTATGTATACATACATATACATGCACGTATGCCCGAAATTCCCCTTGGCTGCAATCCCTGTGCGTGTAAGCGATCCGCAACAGCTGACCCAAGGGCCACTTTGACCACCCCCCTGCAGCCTCCGTCCCTGCAGATCCGATGGATCGTCTTCGACACCCGCAGGCGAAGGGTAGTGCGCTGGAAGGCCGAGTTAACCACCGTCCTCCTCTCCTCCCCTCTCCTCGAAGATTACCAGAGGACGCTTGAAGGCAACACTTCCGACAGGCGCTGCGCGACCAAACGGTTAAGAATTGCCCGGGAGAGTTCGCAGGGCCCCACTGGGAAGTGGACGATTGATAAAGTATTCGTCGTCGCCGTCGCCGTCGTCGTCGTTGTCGTGGTCGTCGTCGTCGTCGTCGTCGTCGTCGTCGTCGTCGTCGTCGTCGTTGTCGCTGTCGTCGTCGTCGTCGTCGCCATCGTCGAGGCTGCCAGACCGCAGCCAGCGACCCAGACGAGAAACAACGAACTATTTGCTGCATCGCCCCTGCCCGACTTGTTCGGCGGCCACATGCGAACCCTACCCTTCCCCCCACAGATTCTAAGGGGGGAGGTGGGGTTCACTTCACTCAGAAGCTCCCGAGCGAAGTGAACCCCATCCTCTCCCTTAGGGTTCGCATGTGGCCGCCGACTGAAGTGTTTTTAACCGTGTGGTCGCATTACGCCTTGCCCTCCCTTGCCCAAGGAGTCGGGCGCGGTCGAGTCCTGGAAACGCGAGCTGCTCCGCTTCTGTGCGGCCAGCAACCGGGGTCTCGGCGCCAGCAGGGAGGACGTGCGGCGGGTCACCGCGCTGGCCGAGAAGCTGGAGGGGTCGTTCCGGGCGCCGCAGGGATCGGAGAAGCGGCTTGAGGCGCTGACGGGGTCGTGGGCCATCATTTTCACAACCTCCCCCGACCTCACCTCGCTGAGGACGCTGCCGCTGCCCGGGTGGAGCACAGAGCGCATAGGCCAGTCCTTCCGGTCCAACATGGACGCGACCAACGAGATCGAGTTCGTGTCGCCGCTGGGGAGCCGGGTCGACCAGACCGTGCAGTGCAAGTGGAAGCTCGTAGAGCCGGGGGCGGAGAAGCTGAGAGTAGAGCTCCTGTTTGCCGGCAGCTCCACGAGGCTGCGCGAGGTGATGGGCTTCGAGCCCCCCGTGCCGCCCCTCACGCTGCCGCTGCCGCCAGCGGCCGGAGTTTTCGAGGTGTCGTTCGTGGACGATCGGAGGGCCGCAGGTGTACACCTGCTCTCCTCCCGGCCGGGCCGATCCTGGGCCCAGGGCGGGCCTGGCCAGGATCGGGTGCCCAGACGCGCGATGCCCGGACTTTTTCGGCACGGGGTCCCTGGAAGTCCCGGCCCTTCTTCACGGAGGGCGGGTCTTTCACACATGTCGCGTTTGAGCGGGCACGGGGGCCCCGCGAGGGCTCCCAGAGCCCGCAGGCCACCCAAAAGCTCCCGGCGTGATTGTTTCACCACTCGAGGCGGATCTGGGTACAGGCTGGCTTGTACGGACCTGCCCTCCTAGGAGGAGGAGGAGGAGGAGGAGGAGGAGGAGGAGGAGGAGGAGGAGGAGGAGGAGGAGGAGGAGGAGGAGGAGGTCGAGGAGTAGGAGGAGCAGGAGGAGGGGGAGGAGGAGGGAGGCGGAGGAAAAGGAGGAGCAGGAGGAGGGGGAGGAGGAGGAGAAGGAGGAGGATGAGGAGGGGGAGGAGGAGGAGGGGGAGGAGGAGGAGGAGCCCTCCTGGGGATACCTCGTGACCTCGCAGGACGAGGACCTGCTTGTACAGAGGCTGGCGCCCGGGCGCCGTGGCCCGAGCGGCGTCAACATCCTGGTGCGGCAGTGAGCCCCGCCTCGCCGCCGCGGCAGGGCTCGCCCCCGCCTCCTTCCGATTCGCTTCGACTCGATCCCGATGGCCTCCGATTCCGCCCCGACTTGACCTCGGACTCCGTCTTGGGCCCCGGCCTCCCTCCTGGAGGCCTGCTGGCCCGCCGACGTCCGCCCTTTTTCGGCTCCTCCGCGCTCGGCCGCCGACTTCCGCCGATCCCGTTCGTGCCGATCGCCGAGCCGACTTCTCGCCTCGCTTCCGGGCTCGCCTCGGCGGCGAGCGAGGGGGGGAAGTGCGAAGGGGCGGGCCTCCTCAGCAGAAGGCTCGGAAGTCCCCCCGGCCTTCCGAGAAGTGCTCTGAGCCTTCCCCGGAGACAGAAACAAAAACTTCTCAGCAGGCGCGAGGGCCTCTGAGAGGTCCCGCAGCCTTCCGAGGAGGCCCTCTCCTTCTCCCCTGACCTTCCAGAGCGCTAAAAAATAGCACTCCAGACCTATAGATCTGTCTGGACTGCCTCAAACCTCGACAGGAATTAGGACGTCGACGTCCTGGTGCTATTTTTTAGCCCTCCTGGAAGGTCAGGGTCACTCTTCCCCCTCGCCTGCCGATCGCCTGCCGCGGGCTCTCCGCCTCGCCCCGGCCTCTGGGGGAGAGCCGGCGGGGGCTCCCTCCCGGCGACGCGGCGCCCCGCCTGCCCAGACTCGGGAGGGGAAGCAAGAAACACACGGACACAATGAATCCTCGGCTCCCCAGAAGATATGGAAAAGTATGGGAAGTGGGGGGGGAAGACAGACACCCAGACAATATGGGAACTATCTGGGGAATCTCTTTTATGTGTGTGTGTGTGGTGTGTGTGTGTGTGTGTTTGTTTGTGTGTCATAGGGGCCCCTTCACAGACATCGGGCGCCTCGGGCGAAAAAGGTCGGAGGTGTGTTGTCACTTCCGGCCTCTCGGTGCCCTTGCCAAGCCTCGGGGCGGTCCAAAGACGGCTCGACATACAAAAGCCACGATCCGGGGGAAGTGGTCGAGAGGTCAGATGCCCCCGCCTCGACGAACATCGACACGCTGGATGTCCAGGAGGGAGGGCGCTGCAAGCCAGGACTTTGGAGAACGCCACCGGCGTCACCCAGACATACTGATGCTGCATGTGCGCCGCCCCAGAAGGGGCGGCGCGCGCGCCCAGAAATCTTCCGGTATATGCTCCATGGCGGGCGCGTTTTGGTCGCACCGCTCGGGGCACGACATGTGATAAGATGTTTGCACGATGTGCTCGGTTCGGACGTGCGCTCTCTCTCTCTCTCTCTCTCTATATGTGTATATATATGTGTATATATACACGCTGGGTTGGGTCGTGCGTAGTACTGCAGTGTCCCTCTGCGTCCCCGCCCAGCTGGGGAGGACGAGGGCTCGAGAGCGTCTCTCCACGGCTGCAGCTCTCGCGCGGGTGCGCCGACCTCTCGGGGTTTGTCGGCGTCTCCCCGCTTGCGGAGCCCCGACTCCCTGCAGGCGTGAGGCCTCCGCGTCCGCACCTGGTTCCTGGCGCTGCTCCCTTTGCGCGTGCCCCAGATCTCGGAGGAGGGAGAAGCGGCACCGGCACTGACGGCATGTCGGGACCCTGCCAGGAGGTCCACGGCGTCTCCTCGAGCGTCAGACCAGAAACGTCTCGAGCGGACACGCCGAAGGACAGCGGCACCACACTGCTACGAGGTCCTTCCTGTGCTCCTTGGCCCGGGAAGAACATAAAGTCGTCCCAGGGCGTCACTGAACCCTCTGGAGCGACCGTGATGCCCGATAGCACCCCCCCTAGATCCGCTGACCCTCAGAGATCTCCGACTCCTCGCTCCGATCTTGTATTCTGTCTGCCGCCGTCTGGCCAGCGCCGCCGCTCCCTGCTCCGCCGGGCACGGGCTCTCTCTTCTTCGCGACGGTGGCGCTCTGCTCCCCGTCGCCCTCGCCAGGAGCCGCCGAGCTCAAAAAGCAGCGGCCCGCACCGCCCACGCAGAGCTGCAGTCTCAGGGCGGCGTCCGGACACCGGCGCTGGGACTCCTGACCTTCACGAGCTTCGAGGTCCCCCAGGACCCCCTCCAAACGCTCCAGGACCCTGCACAACCATAGCTCCAAGAAGTAGCCCCCCCTAAACCCAGTAGGAGCATGAGTAGCAGCAGGAGTAGGAGGAGGACCAAAGTGAACCCAGGATGCATCAAAGATGCTGCACCGCACCCTCTCGTCTGAAGTTCCCTCCTCATCCGTCCTTATGAACATTGCTTTCCAGTGCGGGAAGCCTCCCTCATGAATGACGAGCGCACGGTGGGCTTGCCACTCAGGCGAGACCCTGTTTTGTGAAGTATGCCCCCCCCGCCTTTGAAGCTAAGAGAACCGCAAAGAGAAATTATGAGAAGGTTCAAGCCAGTGTTCAGCGATAGCCGCGTTAAGATAAGGATATGCCCTCTATCCGGGTAAGTGGTGCACAAGTTCAACGTGCTGATCCTGCAAGCTGCGGAAGTCTGAAGCGGCAATCTCCTTATGTCGAGGGAGCTCGGATCTTGGCGACGCGAACGCGCCCTTGATTATCGCACCCCCCAACAACCCTGATGTGGTGCGCGAGGTAGCAGAACAATCCCACTCCGTCCCTCTTTCCATACCATTAGATTCCTCCTCCTCTTCATCCTCCTTTTCTCCTCCTCCTCCTCCTCGGCCCTCCTCCTTCTAGGCTGATGTTTGGCAACCGCGCTGTCCATTCGATCCCGCGCCATCTGGTGGAAGCTTTGGACGTCTTGTGGCTCCTCCCAGGGGGCTGATCTGCAGGCCCTTCGCGGGGGCTGCGGAGCAGAAGGCGGAAATCCTGCATCAAGTTTTGCTCAGGCACAGGTCGCCCAGCGCCTCACGACGTCGGGTGTGATTCAGAGTGATGCGGGGAAGTCCTGGGGTAAGGCCTGGGCCCCCGTTTGCATCCTCCTCCGCCTGAGCCTCCTCCCTTTCTCTCCTCCTCTTCTGCCTGTCCTGCTGAAAGCGGAGAAGTCTAACTTTGACGACCTAGCTGCAGGCACATAGCCAGGCCACTCCAACCGAACCGGAGCTTCCGAGAACTCCACGCGGGCCTCCGAACATTCATGTTTAAACCATGACGCTAAAAGAAGGACCATTTTGGGCTCAGGAGGTGCTGAGCTTTCCGGGCCGCTCCTCAGATTAGGTCGCGGAGCCTCGCCGTTGCCTGAAAAGCCCCTCCGTTTTTAAAGCGCTTCGTATGGTAGCATGGTGACTGTGTGCACTTAGTTATTCCTCTTGTTTTCCAGCCGCAGGACCGCGGTGCGCGCCGCCCTCAGCTCTGTTGTCCGCGCAGTTCCCAGCGGCTCTGCGACAGCGTAACGTGCAGGCGCGCCGCGACTGTGAGTTGCGGCCAGCGTTAAGGCCTGCGCTCCCGCTGGAACGCTCCTCGGCCACTTCCGGAGTGGGGATTTGCCCACACCCGTCGCCTGGGGCATCGATCTTCGGGGACCTCGGCAGGCGGTGGATATGGACCTCTTCGGGCTCCCTGGTGCCCAAGTAGATCCGTATCCACCGCCCGCTGTGGTCCCAGGACGTCGGTTCACGAGGCGGGGGATACGGGCACATCTAGGGGAACAAAAAGTGACACAAACATAAGTTCTCGGAGGCCCCAGCGCCGATCCGGGAAATCCGCGCGGACCTCCGAGTTTTTATGTTCATGTCACCTCTTGTTCCCCTGATATCCCCTACCTCGCAGCACCGAAGGCAGGCGCACTCCTGCCCTCCGCGAGCTCGCCGCCGCCACCCCGCGCGCGCCCTCGTGCCGCCCCCCGTGCCCGTCGGTCCTGCCATCGTGCCCCGCGCCCGCCCGCGCCCTCTCCGCCCGCGCGCGCGCCCTGCCTTCCCTCCCCCGCGCGCCCGCGCGCCCGCTCCTCCTCCTCCACCTCCTCCTCCTCCTCCTCCTCCTCTCCTCCTCCATCCTCTTCCATCCTCCTCCTCCTCCTCCTCCTCCTCTCCTCCTCTCTCCATCCTCCTCCTCCTCCATCCTCCTCCTCCTCCTCCTCCTGCTCCTCCTCCTGCTCCTCCTCCTCCATCCTCCCTCCTCCTCCTCCTCCTCCTCCTCCTCCTCCTCCTCCTCCTCCTCCTCCTCCTCCTCCTCCTCCTCCTCCTCGTCCTCCCCGCGCGCCTGCGCGGCGAGGGGGCGGCTTGCCCTTCCGGGGCAGCGTCAGCTCTCGGGCGGTCTTGTGGGTTCTCGTCGGCCTTCCGGCCTCGGGGGTGCCTTCCAGCGGCATGGGCAGTTTGTCCTTCAGGGACAACGTCGGTTTTCGGGCGCTTTCGTGGGTTCTCGTCGGCTTTCCAACCTCGGGATCTCTTTCAGCGGCTGCGCCTCGCCGAGGGGCGTCATGGGGCTGCCCGGGTCGCCCCGACGGGCCGCCAGAGAGCCAAGTTCTGGCCCGAAAACAAAGGGGCAGCGTTACGGCGGGTAGGCTCAGGTGGGGATCCGATGGGGGCCGGGTAGCCCGCCCAGCCCAGCAGAAACGTGCGGATTCGTTATCGGGGGCCTATCGCCGACCCATCGGCGATGCCTCGCCGATTCCAGGACGACGTTTCCCTCCTGAGCAGGTCCCCGCCCCTTACGTGGCCCCTCAGCTTTCCCCTCTTTCCTCCCCCTCCCGTTCCCCGAGTTCCTGGCGCCCCATTTGTTTCGCGCCAGGTCATGTCGTGCCTTCTTTCGGGCCCTGGTACGGTCACAGATCGATCGGGCCAAACAAATGCAGCAACAAGATGGGGCCCAGGGCTCTCCGTTGACGATGCTGCAATCTGTTCGCGACGCCGGCTCTCAGGGTTGATTCTGCCCTTTCCCCGCGTGCCCGCAGGCTTTCTCTGAGGTGGAGCGGTTCTTTCCGCTGGCGGTTTCCCACTTTGTGCTATCTATCGAAGCAGTCAGCTGTTTTTTGCTCCGCTTGAAGCATGCCGCCGTCTGCCCCTGAGGGGACCGCTCTGGCACCGGAGCTGGCACGCAGACCGAACCGAACCGAACCCCCGCGTGCGCGCGCATCTCGGTCAGAGCCCCGAATCATCAGGGGTGACTCGGGTCAGGGATAACTCGGGTTCGTTTTTCGGGAATCCAAACCCGAGTTACCCCGGACCCGAGTTACCCCGGATAACTCGGGCGTCCAGAGCCCCGAATCATCAGGGGTAACTCGGGTCAGGGCTAACTCGGGTTCCTTTTTCGGGAATCCTCCAAACCCGAGTTACCCCGGACCCGAGTTACCCCGGATAACTCGGGCGTCCAGAGCCCCGAATCATCAGGGGTAACTCGGGTCAGGGCTAACTCGGGTTCCTTTTTCGGGAATCCAAACCCGAGTTACCCCGGACCCGAGTTACCCCGGATAACTCGGGCGCCCAACTCGGTGAGAGCCCACCTCCTCCGCCCCCCGTTCGGCAGCAGCCGCTCCCTGTCCGCCAGAGGCCCCCGCGTGTCCAGGCAGCCCGAGAGAGCGCCCGTCGGCCGAGGTGGGGCGCCTACGCCAAGTCCGGGCAGGAGTCCACAGGAACTCCTGTGAGGGCGAACTTGGGCGGAGAGGAGGAGGAGGGACAGATGAGGAGAAGAAGGAGGAGGAGGAGGACAGATGAGGAGAAGGAGGAGGAGGAGGAGGAGGAGGAGGAGGAGGAGGAGGAGGAGGGGCAGGAGGACAGCGGAGGAGGAGGAGCAAGAAGAGGAGGAGGAGGAGCAGGAGCCGGAGGAGGAGGAGGAGGAGGAGGAGGAGGAGGAGGAGGAGGAGGAGGAGGAGGAGGAGGAGCGGGAGGAGTAGGAGGAGGAGGAAGAGGAGGAGGGAGAGGGGGGGAAGGAGGGGCTGGAGGAGGAGGAGGAGGAGGAGGAGGAGGAGGAAGAGGGCGAGAGGGGGACCCAGGTCTCCAAGGATGTGCTCCTCCAATCGGGGTTTCCGTTCCTCGACTTCGGCCTTCGGGTTCTGTTGTCGGGCCCAAGGGCCATCAAACATGGATTCGGGGGTTGCAGCCTCTGGGGCCTCGCACGGAGAAAGACCACATTGGCGGAAGTCTTGGGAGTTTGGGGGGAGAGAGAGGACGGGAGGGAGGGAGGGAGGCAAAGGAGGAGGAGAAGGAGAAAGACCAGACTAAACCCAGGATGCGTCAACGATGCTGCAGCACACCCTCCCGCCCCAAGCCCCCTACATAAGTCTCTACAGGCGTTCCATTTGAGTGCAAGAAGTGCCCCCCTTGAAAGACCAGCACCTTCTGGGTCTGCCATTCAGGCGAGAGCCTCGCTTTGATTTGGAACTGCCTCGCATCCCTGAAGCGAGCAATACGGCATGCGAAAAGGTCGGATCATGTAATTCAGCGAGGTGTCCAGTAAGACCCCGTCACAACGAAATGAGTGTCATTTTTGCGCACGTGAGAGCCCGAGGAAGTCTCAAGCGACATCCCAATTCTGTAAAAAAGGAACCAGCCTCCATCCTCGCAACTGCTGCGAATGCTTGAGGCGAGCGTGCGCGGTGCTAGAAGGTGCCAACCCAAGGTTGACACTTGAGCACACATGTGCGCGGCGTCCAGGCGAGAGCCCCAGTTTGGAAACGGCCCCCCTTAATACATGAAGCAGTTGCAATCATTCGAAACTGATGTGCGCAGAGCCAGGGCGAGATCCCCATTTTGACCCCCATCCATCCTTGAAGCCACTGCAAGCATTTGAGACGAATGCGTGGAACGACACCGACCGACCGCCTCCCGTAGGGTTTCGACTGACAAGTTAATGACGGCAGTGGTAATGGTCAGCATGATGATGCGGATGACGAGGGGAGGAGGATCATGTGGGGGGAGGAGCAGCATGACTGCGATGTGGTGAGAGTTGCCATGTGAGGAGCAGGAACACCTCCCTGTCCAAGTCCGTCGTCTCTCAGCATTTTGATATGTTCTTCTCATCTCTCAGCGCTGTCCTGCGAGGAGCGCACGTAGTCAATTCGCGCCTCAGTCCTGTGCTGCACCACCCCGCGCAGCATCCCAATTTCCAGCACCTGCCCATTTTCGGTCATTCAGCTCATCATCGCCGAAAGAAGGTGGGAAGGCAAGGGGGGAGGATTGGAAATGAAAGGATGGGCGCCCAAGAGAGTGTTCACCTTGTTTGGACAGCCAACCCAGGCAGTGGCGCGCATTATATAATGTATAATCACTCGTGTTGCGCAGTGGTGAGCGCTTGTTGTCAGACATGTGGGGAAGCCGATGTCACATCTAGCAGTCCCTGTGATATGAGCAGTATACTGAGTGGGTTGTGATTTTGCGATCGGCGTTGCCATCATCGCGTTTTGAGAGTTTCCCTGCTTCGCTCGGACGCATGTATGGAACAATGTGGTCCGCTGTATTCTGTCTATCCGAAGTGCGTTCCAGCTTCCGAGGAGTGATTCAGATGATCGAACTTCTCATCAAGGACTTGGACAAGGAGATCACCGAGGCCTGGAGTCCTTCCTGTTGCGACGCTGGTGGGGCACCGCATTGTGTACACTCCAGTCAACTCACGCCCAGTTTGCACATCTTTTCGCTGTTACTCCCTGTCGCTGAGTGGGGTGCCAGGGTCGTGCGGGCTCGTTTCCCCGAGGATGCGCTGGCACCTGCTTGACGAAGCCAGCAGCAACTCCCGCTAGCGTCAGCCTCCTGGCCTGGTGCCGCGCCGACCGATCGCAAGCAGCTTTGTGGCCGATAAACACTTACGCCGGGAGCATCACGAGGACCTCTACCAAGCGCTCTCTGCAGGAAGCTTGGCCACTCGGGCCCCGTGATGTCGCCGACAGCGGGCTTGACCCAAAGTTTGGTTTGTGCGGCGTCCCAGCGTGATTAAGAGACACAGCTTTACGAGCGGTTATGTTTGGTGGCTGAACTCGGCGATTGACGGTTGTACGAGGGCAGAGTAAGGAGTCCACTTCTCTCCTGAGCAACGCAGCTCTCGACTCGCTCGAGATCGGGACTTTGTTTGCCAAGAGCGCAGTCGAGCAACGGATCGACATTGCGGTCCTCAAAGCTCAGGGGACGAGCGGCTGTGCTACGGAGGCAAGATAGAACATCGTCAACGTGCCTCACCGACTCGTCGCGAGGGCTCGCTTTCTGACATGAAAGCGCCTGGCGGTCGATTCGTCCACGGTTTCCATGACCGGGTGGCGGTGTCAGAAGAACGTCCTTGCGACAGAGGCTCTCGGAACCACCATGTGTGCAACTTAAGAGACGAGCTGCTGTGCCATTTTCCTGCAGTGGGGAGGATGGCAACGGCTTGGAGCAGTAGAGATTATTGACGTTTCGCACATTTCCACTAGCCTTTCCTGAACATATTCCATGGCGAGTTGGTGTGAGACGGGGGATGGAGGAACACGGGTAAAGCAGCGGGGGGAAGACACCAGTCGAACCATATCATGGATCAGACCGATCAATCCTCAAGATTGCCAACTCGGGGCTGTCGGGACCCTGAGCCTCTGGAAGACCTCTTGAAGCCATCTTGAGGCTCTCTTGGTGCCCTCTTGGGGGCCTCTGGGGTCCTCTTGGAGTCAGTTTTGGAGCAACTGGGGCCCTTTTAGGACCATCCTTGAGGCGTGCGACCTAATAGGGGGCGGCGTCAAGTTGCGTCGCTCGTGGAGCCCCCCAAATCATCCCTTGAGCTCCTCTTGGAGCTATCAGATGCTCTTGGGGGCTTTGCAGCCTTCTTGGCGCATTCCTGGGCGCCTCTGAAGGCCATCTTGGGCTATCTCGGGACCAACTTCGCACCTCAGAGCTTCATCGGAAAGTGAAGCAGCAAGACGGCCAACACACTGGCGACGGGACCCCATGCAGGGAGACAGGAGACAGCCAAGACGGTGATGGTTCGCGGCGGCAGGCAGCTGAAGCGGTTGGTGCGCCAGGGCCTGGGACCGTCGGGGCACATGCCGAGCCAGTGGCGCCCGCGGTGACGTTGGGCAAGGCGCCACTGCCAGGTGCAAGCGGCCGAGGCAGATCGGTCGGTGACGGCGCAGGGGACTACCAGGGCTGCATGCCAGTGGGGCCCAGGCCTCATCCGAGCAGCTTGGCGACGGCGCGCAGGGCCGGCACGGGGGCCAGGGACAGTCGGGGGCTTTGCTGGCCGGTGGCGGCGCAGGGCAGCACCTTCTGCAGGGACCAGTCGGGGGCATGGCTGGCGAAGACCAGCATGGCGGCATTTGTTGTATAACAAGAAGAAACAATAGGGACAAACAAATCAGGGGCAACACTCGAGGGGGATAGGCTCGAGGGAGATGCATCTACCCTATATCCCATGGATCGCCGATAGGGGTCTGATGGTCCACCCCGCCCAGGAACGCACGGATTCGCTATCTTGGGCCTCTCGCCGATCTATCGGCGATGTGTCGCCGAGCCAAGGTCCCCTCCTGAGCCATTTACCCCCCTAACGTGGCCCCTCAGACAGCCCAGGTGAGGACCTCTTCAGTGCAGGCGCTGTTTGCGGAACCGTTCCTGAGTCTGGGAGCTTCCATGAATTCTGAGGGGCATGTGAGGAGCATCTTTGGGATGCCGGGTGGCAATCACATTGCCATGTCGCCTTCTTGGTGGACTTTGAAGCCATGTTGGAGTCCTTCTGGGCCAAGTTGGCTACTTGGTTTAATTTTTGAAGCAATTTGGGGCTGTCTGCGGCAATCACGTAGCTATCTAAATCGCCTCCGCCCCGACGGCTGGTGGCTTTTTATGCCCCCATTCCCTGGTGCAGCCCGATCCTAGCTGAATTTTGGGTTCGCCGTTCTCGAGGCGGAGGTGGAAGAGAAGAACTCGCAGAAGGCGTACGAGGAGCTCATGGGAGATTCCGCTTTTGGCTTAGACGAGCCTGCATCGTTTATGCGTTGAGATGTTCATCTAACGGTATCCGTTACGCATTGTTGTCTGCGCAGTCTTTTTGTCTACTACTTCCCTGCCCCATCTCTCCCTCTCTCTATCTTTTTATGTTCTCTCTCTCTCTCTCCCCCTCTCTCTGTCTAACTTTTGTGTTTTTGTCAGTGTTTGTCTTATGTTTGCCTTTTTCTCTCCCTCTCTCTATCTCTCTCAGTTTGCATTTGTCTGTGTACATACATAGATGTAAAGACATACGTTTGTTTACTTTACAGCCCTCTCTTCTTTCTCTCACTCTCTCTTCAGCTCTCTCACTCTCTCTTTCTTGCTCTCTCTCTTCTCTCTCCCACTCACACTGGTCTCTCTCTTTCTCCACCTGCGTAACCGCCTTTTTTGTTTCTGTATCGTCAGCTCTCGTTTTGTTTTACTTACGTACAACATGTGCGTATGATCCAGGGTCTGGCCCCCGTGCCCCCCTCCACCCACAGCGGTAATCGGTTCCCTCCCCCTCCCCTCGACGGTGTGTCCCTTCGCCCCCCCCCCTATGGGTGGTGATGATCTGCGGTGGTCGGGTGTGGGATTGCGCGCTTGCGTGGGTGCTCACGCGTGCGCATGCGTCTGTGTGCGTGGGCGTGTCGCTGCAGTCCGTCTCGCTTGCTAGTAGCATGTGCGGCTGCGCTCCCAAAGCTCGATCTGGCCTGCTCGTTTTTTTTTCTTCCCCCTGTCCCGTCCTGCCTCCTGCCCGTCTTCAGGCAGGCCCAGGACGAGGCACGCTCCCGGAGCGCTCCAGCGCCCTCTGGAACGGCCGCGGCGCCCGGTGCATCCTCCAGAGCCAGGCGGAATGCACTCGAATGGCCCAGGCTGAGAGAGCCCGCTGCGGGTGCCAGTCTGTTGCGAGGGCCGCGCCGGTGCAGAGGGATCACAGAGGCGAAGGCAGACGCCTCGGCGCCCTGGCAGCCCCACCTCCACTGCAGCAGAGAGCCCCTCGCTGACGGCATCGCGGAGCAGGCACACCGCAGGCACCCCTACCTCAGGGGCAACAACACACCCTCTCCTCCTCCTCCTCCTCCTCCTCCTCCTCCTCCTCCTCCTCCTCCTCCTCCTCTCCAGGGAGGCCGGCGGGGCAGGGCCGCAGGGCCGCCCGGGGCGGCGCGGGCAAGACGACGTAGGATTCACGAGCTCCTTCGAGGTCGTGATCATGGCCGAGGCCATCCACAGGCCACTGGGCGAGGAGGGTGGAGAAGGAGAAGCTCTGAGTCCAGGGCCACTCCTCCTCCTCCTCCTCCTCCTCCTCCTCCTCGCCCCTCCTCCTCCTCCTCACATTTTCCAGTGGGCCACAGGCCACTGGAAAATGTGAATCGGACGCTGGGCGAGGGCTGCTAACACCGTGGCTGCTAAAACGGCCCTCCCGGAAGGAAAAAAGAGAGCTTCCCGGAATGAGGCGCGGCACGCGAAGCAGTCCACGAGCTTCTTCCCGGAAGGGCGACGGCAACTTCCCGGAGGTTGATTTTAGCAGCCACGGATTTAGCAGCCCTTGACCGGCTTCCGAGTGAACATGCAAGCCCAACGCAAGGGCTACCTCTTCGCACGCTTCGACTTGTCTCCTTCCATGTCCTCGTCGTCGCCTTCTGGCTCGTCTCCCTTGCCCGCACCCGGCTTGTGCCGAAGGGACATGGGCCACCTGACCGTCGGGCCGTCCTGCGAATTCGTCGGTGCCAGCTGGATACCCTGAACCGCTCCAGAACGTCTTGATTTGGACCAAGCCATGACGTGCTGCAATGCAAGCTCCATCTTGCGCAGATCGTCGGTATGAGAGTCGGCTCTCAAGACTCCCCAGATCTAGAGTCGTCCTTCTTTTGGTGTCTGATGTCTGGCCTGCATACGGAATGCCAAGGCATTGACCTGAACCGTGGATAGCTTCGCGAGCCCCTCGCTCGCCTCTTTCACGCTGCCGCTGGCTGCGGGAGCAATTGCACTGACGGCCTTCATCAGGACCGCGGGCACCAAAGACCTCTGTGATCCCATGCTGTGGGGCCCGATCGCGGGGATATCCTGCTTGGCATTTGCTGCTTTCACGGCCAACTCGTGCTTCTCCTGCCTCGTGGCTTCGGCTTTTCCAGGCCATTATTCTTCTCCTCGGATGTCACAAGGAACCTGAAACAGGATGATAGATCGAGCGCTCCCGCTGTGCAATCAGTGTCTCGTCCGCCTTCAAACGAGTTTGGAAGTTATCCCTTTTGCCCTTGCCCTTTCCCCTTGCTCTTGCCCGCAGGGACCTGGTCGCCTAAACCCGCTGCACCAAGAGCCTTGAGCGCCGCCTCAAGACTGTCCGCCATACAAGGTATTTGAGAGACGGCTGCCCACGGCACACCGAAAAGGTGGGATCAATCTAGGAACTGATTAATAGCCACAATATGAAATCATGTTGATGCAACTATGAGCCCTGTTGCAAAACGACGATCACGACATTGGATCTCTTGAGCACGAACTGCACGCTCGTTCTAAAATCATTCTGAGCAACGTGGGCATGCAGACGTCCAGGAGGCAATTACATTGGGTGGGGCCGATGCTTTGCGTTTCCTCTCGACCTGCTTTGCAAACTCGGCGTGCGGCATGGCCTTACAAATATACAGTGATTCCGAAACGAGACGTTCCCCTTGCGCCACGGGCACTGCAATCTGCCAGCCGTCTTGGCCGTCGATACCTTCGTCGCCTTTCTCGTGCCGCTGACGGCCGTGCGTTTGTAGCTGTTCTGAGGTGCTCTCTTCATCCCGGCACCTCTGGGGGCTTGTTTGTGGGCCACCTTGCGGGCACTGTGGTGGGAGCCCAGGACAGGACGTACAGCTTCTCTCCAGGTGTCTGTTCTCTCTCTCTCTCTCTCTCCCTCTCTCTCTCGTTTGTTGTTGTTTCTCTGTGTTTCTTTATTTCTTTCTCTCTCCCTCTCTCTCTCTATATATACATATCCGTAAGGGCTTCGCCCCATGCCGCCGGCCCCCTTCCTCGGATAATGGGAGATGCAAAAACTAAATCATGAGGTCTGGGCGCCGCCGTGAAGCAGTGTCGGGACCTGTTTGTTTTTCGATCCTGGCTACGCCGATTTGCATGAGGCATGAGGGGCGCAACCGAATTTCAAGAATGTTGCAAATCCCATGTGTTTTTGGACCCTGACCCCGCCGATCTGCGTGAGGGTGTGTTGCCGAATTTCAGAAATGTGGAACATCTAATATGTTTTTTTCACCCTGACCCCGCCGATCAGCCTGAGGGGTGCCACCGAATTTCAGAAATGTGGCAAATCCTTTGTGTTTTTGGACCCTGACCCCGCCGATCTGCGTGAGGGGTGCCACCGAATTTCAGACATGTGGAACACCTAATATGCTTTTTGACCCTGACCCCGCCGATCTGCGTGAGGGGTGCCACCGAATTTCAGAAATGTTGCAAATCCCTCATGTTTTTGGACTCTGACCCCGCCGATCTGTATATGGGGTGTCACCGAGGTTTAAAACATATGACAAACTCAATGTGTTTTTCGACCCTGACCCTGTCGATCCGCGTGAGGGGTGCCACCAGATTTCAGAAATGTGGCAAATACCTTGTGTGCTTCGGACCCTGATCCTGCCGATCTGCGTGAGGGGTGCCACCGAATTTCAGAAAAGTGGCAACTATTTGTTGTTTTCGGACCCTGGCCCCGCCGATCTGCGTGAGGGGTGCCACCGAATTGCAGAAATGTGGCAAATCCCTTATGTTTTTGGACCCTGACCCCGCCGATCTGCGTGAGGGGTGCCACCGAATTTCAGAAATGTGGCAAATCCTTTGTGTTTTTGGACCCTGACCCCGCCGATCCGCGTGAGGGGTGCCACCGAATGTCAAAACTGTAGCAAATCCTATGTGTTTGGACTCGGACCCCGCCGATCTGCGTGAGGGATGGATGTCAGCAAATTTCAGAAATGTTGCACATCCTATGTGTTTTTGGACCCTGGCCCCGCAGATCTGCGTGAGGGATGGATGTCAGCAAATTTCAAAACTGTTGCAAATCCCATGTGCTTTTTGACCCTGACCCCGCCGATCTGCATGAAGGGTGCCACCGAATTTCAGAAATGCTGCAAATCCCTTGTGTTTTTGGACCCTGACCCCGCCGATCAGCCTGAGGGGGGCCACCGAATTTCAGAAATGTGGCAAATCCTTTGTGTTTTTGGACCCTGACCCCGCCGATCTGCGTGAGGGGTGTTAATTTTGATCCACCCAGCAATTCAGAGCACACGCTCAGGGCGTGCTAAACCTGCCCGTTTGGGCCTCCCCCCCCTCGCGCGGTCTATCAACAAGGAACAGTCAGCACCAAGAAGCAGAACTGTAACAGTGGAAACTGGAAGCTGCAACTGGTACAGGAAACTGCGAACCTTCGCCCTACAGCCTGGTGGCCCCACAAGGGGGCCGGCGGATATGTATCCCAATCTCTAGCCCTCTCTCTCTGTATATGTATCCGAATCTCTAGCCCTATCTCTCTCTCTCTCTCTCTATTTCTCTCTCCTCTCCTCACACTGTCGGCCGCCTGCCCCTGAACTCCCAACGTCCTGGCGCAATCGGAGCGAAGGCCTCTCGTGATCCTCGGCCCGGAGGCCGCTTCCGAGACCCAGGCGCCGTCGACAACGCAATCCTGGAGTCATGGGGGCGCGCAGGGAAAGAATAGCGACGTCGGACGTATGGCTCCTCTCCATGTCCTCCTCACCGAGCGCGTTCCACTACTCGCAAAGTAACTACCTGCAAATGGCCTGGATCCGCCGTGGGGGATCTACGATAAGATTAGATCGATGCAGACATGTTTTTTTGTCGAACGTCTGCGAGTAGGTACTTTGCGAGTAGTGGAACGCGCTCGGTGATCAACTCCGAGGCCTCCAAGCGCGCGGCAGACATGAAGGCGATCGGCGAGAAGACACGGGAGAAGGCCCTCAAGGAGGAGTCCATGGAGGTGAGCACCGGCACCCTGAAGGTCGCCGAGAAGGACCGCTCGGGGGCCCCTGCGAGAGAGCGGATTCGAAGGGCTGAGGGTGGTGTAGAACTTTCGAGAGGGGCGGGGGGCACCGTGAGCGGAGTGCTTAGGAGAGGAGTAGAGGAGGAGCGGGGTCTATCTACACCATGGTAGGCCGTTCTGACATAAGCGTCCGAGTTCAGCTTTCACAGGCGAGCGCATAGGTTTGCAGTCTGCTTTGGACGCGTCTGTTGGAGTAGTTTTCCAGACGTAGTTTCTCTCGGGCTGGAACTGATGAGCCTTGAGGCGCGACATGGCCTCAAGTCTTGCAGAAAAGGGCGAGGACAGATCAAGCGGCGTGGAGATGCTTAGAAAAGAACGCTCTAGACGCACGCACATTGCCCAAAGCGAATTCTCTTTGCGGGCCTACGCTGATGTCCCAGTCGTCAGGGCTATCTCGCAAGGGACGGGCAAACCAACACCCATGCACTTACGTGTTTGTGTGTTGTGTGTGTGCGTGTCGGTGTCGGTGTGTCTGTTTGGGTGTGCGTGCGCGAGTGTGGGTGTGTAATGTTATGACCTTCTCGGTACGCCCTCGCAGTTAGGCAGCATCGGCACCGTTCGCACTGCCCATCGCTGTGTGCGCGTTTACGCCGCGTTATTATCGCAGTTCACTTCCTCTTGCCCTCGCGCTCCAGTTCTCCTTGCGTGCTCGGCTACTCTGCATTTGCACGACCGCTGTGACATGTTCCACCTGCGTGCGCGCCCTCGCGTTTTTGTTCTGCATGCGACTGCCACCATCCCGTCCACCATGCCAGGTGAACATTCGCCTAAACGTGACCTGGCTTAACGCACCGCGACGGTGTCGTCACCCCGCCGCTGGAGGATGCACATTGACATGTGTGTATGTGTGCATGGCTGCATGCATGCATGTATGTATGTATGCATGCCTGCATGCATGTCTGTATGTATGCATGCATGCATGTTTGTATGTATGTTTGTACTCAGGTATGTATTGTATGTAATTTATGTATGTGTGCATGTGAGTTTGTATATCTGTACTGCATGCAGTGTATATGTTCGTACATGCCTGTATGTATGTATGTATGCACGTACGTCTGGTTGCATGTATGCTTATATATATGTATATATGCAGTGTCTGTAGCCCTTGTAATGCATGCATGTATGGATGCGTGTATGCAGCTGTGTATGTAGGCATGCATGTGTGTATGTGTGTATGTATGCATGCATGCGCGAATGCATGTATGTGTGTATGTGCACATGTATATGTGTGTCTGTATGTATACTTACATGTATACATGCATGAATGTATGCATGCAGGCCTGCCTGCACTTATGTATGAGTTTTTGTATGTAGGTCTGTATGTAAGCATGCACGTATTCGTGTATGCACGCATCTCAGTCTGTATGTACGTACAGTTTTATGTTTCCGGGCATGTGCGTACGTACGTATGAAAGTATGTTCGTAGGTGTGTATGCATGTATGTATGTGTGTATGCCTGTAGTGTAAGGAGTTTACGTATGCATGCACGCGTGAATCTTTGTATGCGTGTCTGTGTATATGTATGTACCCACGTATGTCTGAATGAACTGCGCGGAAGCATACATGTGTGTATGTATGTATGTACGCATGCTTGCATGCGTACATGCACGTATGTATGATGCTTGTATGTATTCATGTGTGTATGTATGTAGGTATGTAGGAATGCTTGTATGCATGCGCCCCTGCATATATGCATGTACGCGTGACTGTCTGTATGTATGTACGTGGGCATGTATGTTTTACGTATGTATGTACTTGTGTTCGTACGTCTGTTTGTATGTATTGGTGTATGCCTGTATGAATGTATACATGCATGCGGGCATGCGTGCATGTAAGTGCCATGTATGGAATGTAGGTAACGTGTTTGTGTATCTCTATATGCATGCATGTGCGTATGTATGTGTGTATGTATGTAGTGTATGTGCTGTATATATGCTTGTGTATGTCTTCATGTATGTATGCATGCATGCATTTCTGCATGCATGTATGAATGCCTGCGTTTATGCATGCATGTATGCATACAGGCCCGTATGGATGCAGGCACTGGTGCATGTATGTAGTGTGTACATACTTACGTGCGTACGTATGTATGTGTGTATGTGTGAGTGTAGATATGCATGTGTGCAGGTTTGCATGTAGGGCTGTATATATATATGGAGTGTACGCATGTATGGATGCATGAGTGCGTGTCTGTATGTATGTATGAATGCATGTAAGTGTATGTGAGGTGTTGGTGTATGTCTGTATGTGTGTATGTATGTCGGTCTGTATGCTCCATGCGTGCATACGTGTCTGTATGGACGCATGTCTGCCTGCATTCAGGAACTTAGGTGTGTCTGTAGGTATGTATGCATGTATGCATGCAGGTCGGTATTTGCGCATGTTTGTCTTTATGCATGTACGTGTGTATGTGTGTATCTATGTGTGTATGTGCGTGCGAACCTACGAATGTATGTAGGTGTGCATGTCGGCGTGTATGCATGTATGTATGCGTTCGTTCATGTATGTATGCATGGTTGTACGTATGCGGTGTCACGTGCGTGGTGTATGTATGTGCGCAGAACTGTATTCATGCATGCATGTACCTACGCACGTCTGTACGCGCGTCTTATGTAATATGTGTAACGGATGCCTCTATGTATGGGAGCGTGCGTTTGATTTTATGTATGCTTGCGTTCAAGTATGCATATCTCTATGCGTGTGCATGTATGCATGCGTGCATGCATGCATGTATGTATGTGTGCCGGTTTGCATGCATGTACGTATGTAGGTATGCGTGCATGCATGCATGACTGTATGTACGCATTCGTACCTGTATGTATGTACGTGTATGTATGTGGTTTTTGTGATTGCATGTGCTTGCGTACGTATGCATGTATGTATGCATGCATGTATGTACGTATGCATTTGTCTGTAATGTATGTATTGTGGCATGCACATGTCTGTATGTATGTATGCGTATATGCGTGCATGCGCGTATGCACGTATTTATGTATCTATGTGTATATAAGGTATGTATGCAATGTATGTAATGTATGTAATGTACGTGCGCATGCATGTATGCATGCTTGCTTGTCTGGTTTGTGTGTGTGCGTGTAATGCATGCGTGTAGTGAGTGCATGTATGCACGTGTCTATGTGTACATGTGTGTGCGTATGTGTGCGTGCATGCCTGCATGCGTATATGCATGAAAATGGGCCTGCAAGTATGCATGCACGTATGTAGGTATGTATGTATGAAGGCATGCGCGCATGCATGCTTGTACGCATGTGTGTATGTATGTACGTGTATATGTATGTGTTTGTGTGTATGTACGTACGTACGTAGTTGCGTATGTCTGTATGTATATATATATATGCCTGCATGCATGCATGTATGCGGGCATGCAAGTATTCATTGGTGCACGTAATGTGTGCAACGTATGTATGTATGGATGCATGCATCCTGTATTGTATGCATGTACGGATGTATGTCTGCAATGCGTGCAATGTGTGTGCGATATGGATGTTTTTGGGTATGCATGTATGTATGTACGTATGTGTGTCTGCATGCATGTATGCATGTCTGTATGTACGTATACATACCGGTCTGAAGCATTGGTGCATGTATGTTTACGTGTGGGCATGTATGTATTCATGCATGCATTTATGCATGTATATATGTACGCATATGAGCCTGTAGGTGTGTACGTGTGTAGGTATGTATGCAGGTATGAATGTACATGTATGCATGCACACACGTACGTACGCATGTATGTACGCGTGTATTTATGCATGCACGTACGTACGTACGTATATGTGTGTGTGTGTGTCAGTCTGTCGGTTTGCCTGGTTGTCTGTCTGTCTGTGTGTCTGTATGTTTGTCTGTCTGATTGTCTGTCTGTTTGTCTGTGTGTCTGTGTGCGTGTCTGTCTGTCTGTCTGTCTGTCCGGGCCTGGAGTACCAGGAAGACGACGGGGCTAGGTGGCTCAACATCTCTGTCCGCCACCCCGCAGGTGGCACACAGGCCGAGCTGCACGTGGCAGCGCGCCGGGACGGCGAGGCCAGCAGGCGCGGCGAGCGGGAGAAGCACGCCCGCTACACGGGCGCTCGGCTGACTCACTTCGTCCTCGAGGCGGGGAGGCGGCTCGGCGCCGAGGCCCGCCTCCTGGTTGCTCGGGCAGGTGCGACGCTTGCCTGAGGACCAGCAGCCGCGGGAACTGGCGCGGGCCTACAAGGTCAAGAGCTGCGGTCTGCAAGCGGCCACGGCGCGCCAGCTCCGCAAGGCGGCTGGCCTGCGCTGGGCGGCGCGCCAGGCGGCGGGGGGCCCGCGGGCGAGGCGACGGCGCGGGGGGGCGGGGCCTTCCATGACGTCCGTGTCGTCCAACTCCTGCTGCTGCTTCAGCTGGGTGGTCGTGGAAATCGCCATGGCTGGGGACATACGACTGCGTTTGAGGTGTCTCCCGCTAAGGAGGAGGTTCCACTGGGTCCTGTCCTCTGGCCTGAGAACGGTTCCTGGGCTTTTCCCAGTGATCTGCTTGGGGTCAAATTCTGGAAGACGTCCACATTTTCCGCAGGCGGGTCTGTGAGACGAGCCTTGCAGAAGTTCGGGCGCGAAGAGATCGCGGCCTTGAGAGGATGAGGCCATAGCGTCAAACCGCGGTACAATCCCTGCGCATCTGTCTGGACGGCGGGTCGCTGCTCGCTGTCTGCAATATGCAGATGACCCGCTCACTTGGCGGCTCCCGCCCATGCTCCTGCGTCGGGGGTCGGGGGGCTGAAGGGGGGGGGAGGTGGAGGAAACAACGAGGGAGG